GGGGGGGGGGGGGGGGGGGGGCGCAGGGGATGGCCTTCTTGGAAATGAGTTCTTCCAGGTTTTGGGTAGGGGTGGGGAAGTAGCTTTGATCATCTGGGAGATTTGTGTAGTTTTCAGAGGAACTCCTCTGCATATGTAAAATATGCAACTCTGTGAAGTTAGACTCTGGGGATCAGATATTGCTATTGTACCAGCCTTTCTACTGTGCAGCTATCTCTGTACCTGAGTTTTTGGAGGCTGTGGCTGGGTTGGTGGTGGTCTTGGGGAGCTTCAATCTGCCTTCCCTGGGAGGGAGCAGAATCAGAAATGAGTCTGGAGTTCATGGCCATCATGGCAACCATGGACCTGATGCAGGCCACTGAAGGTTCAATTCACAGGGAAGGGCACACACTACATCTGGTTTTTAACTCAGGCAGTGGTGAAGTTATCTGGAATTGGGGGTTGTTATCATCACTCCCTTATCATGGACAACCACCTCTAGCTAGCCTTGGAGTTCTTTAGGGCTGCCTTCCATCACAGGACTTGTTCAGTTGGTCCACCCCAGGCACCTGATGGACCCGGAAGAGTTGTCTGGGGACTCTCGTGTGCGGTTTGGTTGAGGTCTTAGTCATTGCTTGGAATAAGCAGGTGGCGGGGACCTTGGATTGGATCATACCTGTACGGAATCTTGCTGCCTGTGGATCCTGGAGAAACCTTTGCATTTTGGATGAATTGTGGGAGATAAAATGGCAGAAATGATGCCAATGACAGAAGATGAACAAATCTGACCAAGCATGAGTAAAAGCCTTTTTTAAGGAATGTGTGGGTTTTACTTCACTCTTACTGCATCAGCAGATTGCGAGACAGTAGCCTTATTTAGAGTGACCCAGTCACTCCTGGGGAGCCAATGCAAGGCTGTTGTAGTCTAGGCATCTGTCAGATAAAGTTGCTTGGATTTACTCTGAGATGAATGCCATTTGTGGTGTTGACTGAAGCACAAGCCAGCTTTGTTATCTGGGATGACTTTGAACTGGTTAATCCTGAGGAGGAGGACAGGATTCTTAAGGTGGTAAGCCACCTGCATTTAGATATATGTTATTCCTGCTTGGTCAAGGCCTTCTGGGAAGTGATGTGGTTGGATCCATGTGATGGTGAATGCATCCTTGAGGAGGCAGTGGTCTTACCCCTCCTTGAGAAATCATCTCTGGATCCAATGGATAAGACAAATTTTGTCCAGTCTCCAACTTTCCATTTTTAAGGAAGTTTGTTGAGAAGGTTCCAGGGTGCAGCTTCAGGGCACCTTGGAATTATCTGGACCCCTTTCAGTCTGGTTTCAGACTGGGATTTTGGATGAGGGTGGAGGGATGCATCTCTCTTGGCTCTCTTTGATCTCTTAGCATCTTCAATACCATCAACCATGCTATCTTTCCTGGGATTGAGAGTGGGAAAGGTGGTATTGTGATGGTCCTCCTCCTTTCTCCACAGCCAGTTCCAGTCTGTGTTCCAGTCTAGTCCTAGTCCAGTGCTAGGCACATGCTTTATCGGGTGCCTCAGGACTCCACTTGCTCTCCACTCTACCAGAGGGAACTACCAGAGGTGACAGAGCAAAACAAAACAAAACCCCCACCCCCACCCCCACCAACACTGGCAGGGCATGCCACTGTATATAAACAGAGAGCGAACTTCATTCCATTCTAGCACTGAAGATGTTACCTAGCCAGGTAATGAAACATTTGAAAGAAAACAACCAAGCTCAGAAAACCCCTAGGACTCCACAGTTCAACCATGAGCTACGCATATTCTCTTCTATTTTCCACTCTTATTTAACATCTACATGATGCTGCTGGTGAGGTCATCTGTCAGGACAGGGTTAAGTACCATAGGTATGCATGTTGTACATTAGCTGTAAATTTACATTAGTTGTACATTTCTGCTCTAGCTGACTGATACAATCTCATGCTTTCCCAGTGTCTAGGGACTTGGATGGGGAAGAACATGGACTACTGCAACACGCGCTACATGGGGCTACTCTTGAAAAGTATCTGGAAACTGCAGTGGGTGCAGAATATGGTGGGGCAGGCAGTTATGGGCATCTCTTAGGGCTGCATGTGTAACACCTCCGCTGTGCGAGCTGCATCGGGTGCCAGTTTGCTTCTGGGTCCAATTCAAGGTGCTGGGAATTATAACGATATATATAAGGTTATGACCTTTAAAGCCCTTCATGGCATGGGCCCAGGTTACCTGAGGAACTGTCTTGTTCCAATTACATTGACCCATCCCAGCTGGTCATGTTATGGATCCCGCCGGCTAAAGAATTTTGACTGGTGGGGTCTAGGAGGAGAGCCTTTTCTGCCATTTTCTGCCATTGCCCCGCCCTGTGGAACATTGACCCCCACTCTTCTGGCCTTCTGGAATAGCGTCAAGAGCTGGCTATGCCAGCTAGCATGGGAACCCAGTGGCGGTTTGCACCACTGGGGATGGTTGGTGGCTTGAGGACTCTCTCTCTGTCTTTTAACTTCGTATATTTTTTGTAAAGATTTTTGTAGCTTTCTTTTTACTTGTAAGCTGCCTAGAGTCACTTATACAGTGAGATGGGTGGTGTATAAATTTCAGAAAGAAAGAGAGAGAGAGAGAGAGAGAGAGAGAGAGAGGGAAGGGAAGGGAAGGGAAGGGAAGGGAAGGGAAGGGAAACTTAGCTAGACCAAGTGGCTTGGGTTTTGCTGTCCCCCCCCCCCTCAAATCTAGATCTAGGAAACTTCCATCCTTGTTCTGGATGAGGTTGCAAAATTTGGGGTGTCCTCCTGGACTCACAACTTCTTCCTGAAGAGCAACTGGCAGCTGAAGCCAGGACCACAACCTCATCTTGTATTCTAATTGTGGCCATTTCTGGATTGGGAAGCTCTACTCACTGTCATTCATGCCTTGATCATCTCCCAGTGAGATTCCTTCAATGTACTGCCCTTGGAAATCATCCAGAATGCAACAGAGTGAGTAGAAATGGGTGCACCTTGGTAGGCCCATGTAACATAACTATTCCATGAGCTGCACTGGTTCCTGGTAACCTTCCACGTGCAATCCAAGTGACAGAGCTAAATAGCTCTACACTGTGAGAGTGACTATTTCTACTGTAGTTATTTCTGCCCACCCCACTAGGTCGCACAGAATGAGCATACTCTTGGTCTCCTCTTTGACCCAGTGTTATTTAATGGGACCTAGGAGAAATGCATTCTCTGCTGCTCACCCTTTGGAATGAAGCCCCCATCCCCCGAGGTTCAGGTTGGCCTGATCTTACTAGCTTTTTGCAAAGCCCCTTTTGCAGAGCTGTGAAGATCTGTTTTTTTTCCCCCTATGAATCGGGCCATGATGGTAATTGTGCCTGTCCTACTGGGAGAGTGAGTGTTGGTCTTATTTCCAGCCTTGGTTATGTGTACAAATGTGGTTTTTAATTGGTTTTTCTATTATTTTTGTTTGGCTTGGCTTGCCTTGTTTAGGATTTTTATTGGTGTACACTGTCCAGAGTCATATATTATGAGTTGGGCAGCCTTATACATTTCTTAAATATATAAGTCAGTCAGAACAAGACAATTTGTGCAGAGCTGGATATAGCCTTATTGCCTAATGGGAAATTTTGATGGTTTTCAGCTTCCATAAAGCTACACTGGTTAGAAGTCCTGGAACGATCTTGCTGTGTTTTCGAAAAAGGGGTATTGCTTGGAGGGCAGCAACAAGATTCATTTCCTGCTCTTTGGGATCTCATAAATCAGGACTGCTTCATCTCAAACTTTGTAGCCTAGGATGATATGGACCAATGATAAGCTGGTCCCCAATAGTGTGCTGAAAAATGGAACTAAAATATGGCAGTAATCCATCTCTATCCTTTCCTGTTGGGTTGGAATTTGTCTATTAAAGGGTGGGACCAAAGTGGGTGAGTGCATCCTTTCTTAAGACAGGCAAATGGATAAATAAAAATACGAATTCCCTTATTTCTCCTAATGTCATGTTTTCAAAAGTGAACCAGTTTTATCACACTTAGGTCAGCTGCTCAAAGTTTTGCATTCCTGTGGTTTAACATTTGGTTTAATTTGGGCCTTAAGAAACATTAAATCAAAGCTGTTTTTCCTGGAACATTTGTTTAAAAGTGTTGTTTTTTAATTGTTACAACATAACTTTCAAAATCCACTAAAAATCTCTTAAATGATTATTTGGCTTGTATGCTTGGTTTGGAATCTAACCATTCCTGTTCTAGCAGAACACATCATATATTGACTGAATGTATAAATGTGCTCTTTATGAAAACATCCTGTTCTTTTCTCTGTTTTTCAAAATTTCAGTTTTTTTTTTTAGCCCATTAAATATAACATATTTGTAGTTACAGCTTTTGGCAAGTAGTATTTATAGACAGCTGGGCCCTCCACCCTAAACATGGAAGCATGGTTCAAACTGGGGCTCATTTCTAACTTATGAAGGCACATGTATTGTAATGCATTTATAGATACATAAATAATATAATTCATTCATTCATTGGCTGATAGCTAACAGTATACAGATGACTATATGTGCATGAGAGATTACACTGCCAGCATGTTTAACTTAATAAGGACACACTCAGTGAGTAAGCACATACTATTAACTCCTACATGACTGCCTACATATAACACTGGCCTACATGGTTGTATCAACAGTATAAATTCTACTCTGCTGATTTAAAAATTCACCAGAACTTGCTGTAAAAACAGTACCTTCCTTCCAAACCTATTTTAGGTTGTAATCTAAATCAAATTTCTAGAAAATGGAAGGAAAGTAGTCATTTTAGGACTCAATCCTAAAGCCCTTGGAACAGCAGCCAGGAATATAGACAATCAGATTTTCCTTTCTGAAATAAGATGAAGATGTTTGCCTTGGAGGGAGACTGAGACTCGGTTCAATCCCCCCACTTCTTTGCCAGTTTCCAAGAGGACATCTTCAGAGGCTATGGAAGAGCCCTCAGTGTCAGAACTTGACCCAGGACATGGCATGAATTTCTCTCTATACTTCAACAGTATAGGAGCGAACAACAGACGAATGAGGACATGGCTTGGATAGATAACTTGCTTTTATTAGAGATACAAGAAACCCTGATAATGATCAACCACTACAGAATACAGCAACTTAGTCCACTGTATAGGGTTTAAATCTATTGACATTGTGATGCTCATTTTGTCATTTGTCCTCCTTGATCTTCCTAAGGATGCCTGTGATGCCTGATATAGCCCCTATACCCCTTTGGCCCTCAGTGGGGCCATTTTTGAAAAGTTTGGTGTATGATTAAGGGCAAGAATGGTGGGAAGCTTCAGGTAACCATTTCACTTGCCATGGTGATTCCGCAGGTTTTCCTCCACTAGTGAGTTTTTAAAGTTGCAATTACTGTTAATTCGTCTGGTCAAAGCATTTGGTATTCTGATGATTTCTGAAATGGCTAGTTTTATGCTATATGTACATCAACTACACCGGTTGGTCAGCAGCAGAAAAGATAATGCACAGCTTGCTATTATTATTTTTTACTTTTGATCATCACCCCATCTCTTTCTCCTTCTTCAGGAATTGCTGCTTCTTGGTGCCACAGCTATTGAGGATCGCCTTCAAGCTGGCGTCCCAGAAACAATATCTACTCTAATTAAAGCAGAGATCAAGATTTGGGTACTAACGGGGGACAAACAAGAAACTGCTATCAATATAGGTAACGACCCTTCAATTTCCCTAGTGAAGTTGTCCTTTGCAAATGCCACCAGATATAAATCATAGATCTTGAGGTTATGGTATAAATGCAGAGATTACTGCTTTGGCAAGTAATCTGATTGACTGGAACTCTGCAGGAGGTAGTCCATCAGTGGAATAATTGGAAAATTCCTGGAGCTCCTTAGGACAGATACCATTTCCACAATCCCAAGGAGAGTCAAAAGTGCAGGCAATTGGATTGATCCTAGTCTCTCATTTTTATATACACTATTATATTAATTATGCTACATTACATTGCTGTAATGAATTATAAGGATGTATATAACAATACATAACATGCAATTTTTAAAAAAGAAAAAGAAGAAAAATAATCTAACAATGCCATAATTACTACAATAGCATCCATGCAAATTGCCAAATATGTCTGAATCAAAAGGTCTTTTTTTATGAAGCTGCAGTAAATGGGGAAGGGAGAACCAGTCAAAATAGGATGGAAGGAGTTCGTGTACAATTTCCAGTAATAAATGATCATAAATAGTATATAACCCCAAAAGGATAATATCACAAAAATCATTAAAAACCTTAAAATTCCAGTAGCTAAATCATCTTCCCTGAATAAAAACTAGCCTCTTTCATTCAAATTTATAGACTAAATTGTAACTCAAACCCAACAATTATGTAGTGTTCTGAATTTAATTTTAAAAATCAATAATCCTCAATGGTAGGCTAATAGTTACATGTGAAATCAAACAGAATGTTCGCTAATTTCTAAATGTTTAAATGGTGCTTAATATCACCTTCCTAATATTTTCATTATTAATATTTTATTCCAGTGCTATAGGAACAATTTGTGACTTGACAATTTGACAATCTGTTCAGGATTTTATAGTCAGCTTCCTGAAATTCCTCCTTAAGGACAGGCATTTTCTCTTGAAGGACTCTGAAGAACTGCACTAAGGGAAAACAGGGTGAGAAGTCTTCCTTTATGCAAGGATCAAACCACAGGATTGATTCAGAGTTCCATTTTCAATTATTTTTACATGAGTTTTGCTGTATTAAAACAACTATGCAAGCCTAATCAACTGTTACTTAGATGATTAGTTGCATTTTCTTTGAATTTCCCATAACCCTTTAGCCCAAAAGGACTGTGGGAAATAAAAATAAAATGCAGCTGGATAATCCAAAATTTGGGGTGAGTTGTCCAACTAAGAGGGAGATCATTCCAAAAAGGCAGATGAGATGTTAGAGGAAGTAAGTTCACAGGTCCCTTATTCATGCACAGGGACCAACTCTCAAGGCTAGTACTCTGTTTCACAGTGCACTTAGTTTGTTTTGATGCAAGATTTTTCTTGCAATAGATGTTATTGTCATGTTGCCAGGCTGTGATTTTTTTGTGCCAGTGCTGTATCCAAAGCATTCAAAGTAAGTCTTGTTAAAAAGTTGTGTCTTCACTGAACCGGTTTATTTAAATCCATTCTTTCATAGAATCCCTCTGGCATTTATTCCTAATGGACCTTATTCTTAAGCGGTACTGGTAGTTTTAACTACCTTCAAAAACTTCGGGGGGAGCTTATTGCAAAGTTTATTTAAGCTGCAGTTGTGTAACCTCAATTGTCCATTCCCCATCTTGTCCATTATTTTCCATATATTTAGTAACACCACTTCTTATTAACAGTGGTAGGCTCTTCCTGAAGTTTAATTTTCACTATTCTTTTCAAAAAGCAGGTGCTTTTGCACCAAGTCCTTTTGACCCTTTGCGATCCCAAAGACAATACATATTAAGACCAGGGGCTCAACTGTAATTTAAGAAAGGCTTTTAATGACGAAGCTTTGGTATTCTATGACTTCACTTGCATTAAGTAGAGTTTAGATAGCCAGTATGTCTTATTATTTACATTTAAAACTGGTATATCCTCCTTAGAAGTAACATTTGGAGTGAAGCCTCAATAAATCATATAGGATATCCTTCCCTAGTGAAGTTGTCCTTT